AATTTTATACGGTACACATGAATCATGGATTATACAAAGTTATTGTGAGAAATCCATTACCTACCCCTGACAACAAGATTATTACACTTTAAATTTACACAGAAACCAACCATCCAAATCTCCGAAGGCACTGTAGGGTTCCACAGGGTAAGTCGCTACAAAAGCACTTGAAATTTTATACCGCACAATAATTCATTAGGGGTTGAATGTGTAATTTTTTCAAGGAAATTTTTTATTTTACAATAATGTTTCATTAACCTGGCACCAAATTAACCTACATAATATGGGAGGGAGTTGTTCACTCAGCCCAGCCACCCATGTGTGACCTCCCACCTCTCCCACACAGAATTCACTTTCCACTCTGAATTTTTCTTAGTTTATAGTTGTTGTTTTTTTTCAAAATAACATTAGAAAATGGAAATGATATATCCACATGTTTTATGATTTCTTATTTACTATTCAGAATTTTTAATGAGATAAGTTGTAAATGACAAAGCAGAAATAAAAGTTAATGGTAAAGTAATATCAAATACTGTATACACTATGCAGATGATACTGTTCATATCACCGATAATGAAGAGGAGGAGTTACAATAACCGATATACAGAGTAGTGGAAAATGTGAAGAACATGGGTTAAGCATTAATGCTGTATAGATGAAAGTAATGATTGCTTCCAAATTGGAAATAAATCCTAATAAAAATTATGGTAGGTAACAGGAAACTTAAACAAGTGGAAAATTTTTGTATTTGGTATGTAACATCAGCTGTGATGGTCGATGTATGAAAGAAATTATAACAAGAATAGGTCAAGCAAAAACATCATTTAATAATCTAAAAGACCAATGAAAAGAGATATTAACTTCAATTTGAGAAAAAGGCTTTCAACCGACACCAGAAAGAAGTTAGAGGCCTTTGAAATGTGGAGTTATAGGCAAATGCTAAGAATAAGCTACACTGACAGTAAAACAAATGAAGAAATACTAAGGTTAGCAAAAACTTCAAGGGAAATACTTGAAATGTACAGAAAAAGAACAATGAGATACTGTACTTTGGTCATAGTATAACCAAGGATGATGGCATGATAACAGAAATATAAGGAGCAAAATTGAGGGTAGGAGGGCCAAGGGAAGTCAGAGACTGGGATGGATGAATGAAATAAAAAACTGGGTCCCCTTAGAGGATTTGTTAAAACGCTTTGAGTGGAGGACTGTGGGTGCCAACCCTCCAGAAACGTCTCATCGGTTCACCTCGTAGATGAAAGCATGCTGGTGCAGAAGCCAACAGGGAGGGTTGGACACATGTGTGGCTTCCATGCATACTGCTTCTCTAAACTACTCACTACTCAGACCACTGATGCTGTGTCAACACCTTTACATCTTTTGATGAGTTGAAAAAATAATGCCCTTGGCTGGTAAAAGGATAGTACAGTACCTTATTCTCCTCTAACTCCACCTTAGACGATTCTAATTCTATCCCTCCTATTCCTGCTCCTTCTACTGAACCTATGCACTTTCCTATAGTCTCCACTCGTAGGGTTGCTGGTGTGTTATCCAGGTTGGATGTGAGTAAGGCACATGGACGTGCATGTGTTCTGAGGGAGTGTGCTGAAATTCTAGCCCCTGTGCTTGCTCACCTCTTTTGCCTTTGCCTCAAAACCCAAACTTTTCCTTCTTCCTAGAAACATGCCTCAGTTCAGCCCATCCCGAAGAAGGGTGACCTTTCCAATTCCTCTAACTATCGCCCCATTGCCCTCACTTCATCCCTCTCCAAGATTTTTAAACTATCTTAAACTCTCATTTTCTCCGTCACCTTGAACGCCTTTCTCTTTTGTTGGATCAACAGTATGGCTTTTGCCAGATGAGAACTAGTGGTGATCTGCTCTCCTACTGCACCCATCTTTGGTCATTCTCTCTTTGGGATTATGGGGAAACTTTTGTCCTGACCCTCGACATCTCCAAAGCATTTGACAGGGTATGGCACAAGTCTTTGCTTTCTAAGCTTCCCTCTTATGGTTTCTCTCCCTCACTTTGTTCTCTAATTTCTAGCTTCCTTGAGAATCAATCCATGGCTGGCAGTTGTCGAGGGATCAATCTCTCGCTGTTTCTCTACCAATAGTGGTGTCCCACTGGGTTTTGTTTCACCTACTCTCTTCCTTCTTTTTATCATTGATTTACTTCACACTACAACTATTTCTATCCATTCTTATGCTGATGTTTCTACTCTTCATTTTCCCTTTCCCCTAATTCTCAAATACGATCTTTTTTAGAGCTGATATCATTTCATCTATCAATGTGGATCTGTACAGCATCTGTGCATAGTCCCAGGAAGGGATGTTGCTAGTGTTATTTGGATAAAAGGAAATGCACTGTAGATTAAATAAAGTTTATGACATTGGATTTACCATAAAAGTGAAGACATTCTGCATCGTGGCCTGACATGAATGAGGGAGGTTGTTGGGTGCTATTGGGTCAGTACCTCGGGAACCAAAATTTACCAGGAAGTGCTACCAGATGAAAGCGAGTATCCTAAATCTGCATATGACAATGGACAGTGAAACATTGTGTGCAGTCGATACCATCGCTTCCACCCTTCGCCCGCCAATTCCAAGGTGCAGGGTGGCCGGAAATTTGAAAATTAAATATTTTTCAAATGAGGTTAAGGCGTGTATAATGCGATTAAATAGTAGTAACAATTAATAAAGCACCTCACAGCTTGTCCCAGTAGCCTGGTGGTTAGTGACGAGAATAACCTGCTACAATGCAGCCAGCGATGCTAACAGATGCAAATGTAAAAAGTAAGTTTTCAGTAAATCTTTATTTGTATCAGGTATTTGTTGATTTAAAAATAAATGTTGCAGGTATGACATTGATAGATTATAATACTTGTAAGAGTTTAGAAATGGTTACTGCATAACTACCTCTGAGGAGTTGGGTGTCTGCCGTGCGGACGTTATTCATCTCAGGTTATCATCATTAGTATAGTACTGTAGTTATAAATCGAGCTTTTATATTTACATAATTATTTTTTAAATAATTAAAAATAATAATAATGTGTACAAAAAAGCAAAAACATATTTTTAATTCTGGAGTTGGGTCAGGCAGAATTTAGCCTACTGGAGACGGCAACTGGGGGATTCATTAATTTAGGAGAGACTGCAACTTCACATAAACAGTAGGAGGCAGGCTTTTTTTTTCAGACAAAAAAGTGCATCTTATATGCCGTAAAATATGGCATATCATGTCAAAATATGATTTTTTCAATATATTTTTTTCAATCTTGTAGAGAACTTATTCAGGATCATTACAGTACCAAATACATCTTTTTAACTCAATTAGTGCAGATGCTCTGATTGAAAGCTTATAAACTTTTCACTCACTCTAAATATTTTTATTTCTGGCCTTGGCATAAAATAATGAGAGCAGTGATAAGAGAGTCGTACAAAGTAGAAGAGTGTTTGACATGGTATACCTTGTTACTGCACCCGTTGATAAAAAATAGGAGCATGTGGTTCATATTAAAACAGAGTGCATGTACTGTACTTATTATTCACTTATCATCAGCTGGTTGAGCAGGGGCGGATCCAGGGGTCCGGACCCCCCCTTTCATCAGAAAATTCCAATACATTTTCTTTAATGCAGTACAGTATTGTACTCAGGTATTTTTTATAGTAAAAAGTAATTACTATTGACCTCAGAATATCTCTTAATATCAAGTGCACATGGTTTCCGAATAGTCAGATTTAAAAAAAAAATCTTGGGAGGGGCCTTACAGTGCCCCCCACCCACCCAAAAAAAAAAAAAAATAGCTGGGTGGGCTTACTGTTCTCACCAATTGATCCCCCACCCACAACTTCTTGGACTTCCCTGCCTTTTGATATTCCTGGATCTGCTCCTGTTGAGTCTTGGAGTGATGAGGCAGTTGAGGCAGGAGGTGAGTGTATGACATCACAATGTACTTCACCAAAGGTGCTAATTTCATTGACTGTATATACCCTACACTTGTGTCTAAGAAATCTTCTCTTTAGTGCTCCTCAGTAACCACCTCTAGCAGCTATTCAGAGACAGCTGCTAGGTTACCCTCCTGTGCCACCACAGAGGCAGCCCTCGCTTTCTAGAACTTGCCCCGTGGTAACTGGATTTTGGTTGTGTTTTATGAGTTGGAGACACATAGTCTGGTGCTGGACCCCAGTTCGGTTTGCAAGGGGATGCAGATTAAGCGAGTCTGGGTTAGAAGGAGTGCACTGTAAATGTACTGATACATTTCCAAATGTTGGAATTTATTAACCAGTAAAAGGTTTCCATAGTTTACCTGATGGCATCTTTGTGGTGTAGATTAATATACCTGTAATCTTTTCTTTTCTACTTTTAATTTCCCTTTACTCTTATTTTTTTGCCCCCTAGGCCCCGTTGTGGGTCGATGACCTGTGCCTGGGTGGGCTATTCCCCATAAAAAAAACACTCGCCTTCCCTCCTGAAGGAAGGAGGCCAGTGGCCTGTGTAGGATCTCTTCATTGTTCTGGATAGTTTTGTGTAAAATTTTGAAGCCCAATATCGTCCTTGATTCCACAGCTTGAGCTGGTAAATTGTTCCATAGATCTACCACCCTCTGTGTAAATAAGTATTTCTTCATGTTCATTCTGCATGATAACTTGGTAATCTTGTAGTTATGTCACCTCATGTTGGTGGTGCATGACATCACAAAAAAATGGTCCGGGTTCATGCGTTTCATTTTTAATGTCTCTATGAGATCTGCCCTATTATGTCTAGTCTGAAGAGTTGTTAGTCCTAAGGTCAGTGGTTTTTCTATTGGCACTTGGGTAATCAATATGATATAGATCCAGAATCATCTTAGTCACTCAGTGTTGCACTTCTAGGTATGATGCTAAGTCTTTCTATAAGAAATTGCTTCTTATAACATATACTAGAAAAGACTTTAATTAATGAATGAAAAATATACTACAGGTTCTTACAAACTTTTAATGTATCATATCATATTTCAGGCAAGTTCTTCGAAGACAGAACAAATTCTGGGAGACAACATATCGAACTCTGATTAGTCGAGTTCAGACTGTCATGCTGGAACACCACCATACTAAGCTGAAAGTTTTGAATTTGTGAAGTGATACCAGCATGGTTTTTAAGTTATTTTTGTGAGTTAAAAAGCCATTCCATTACTGTGATCGTGTTTGTGTAAACTAAGACTTCAGAAAAAGATATTTATTTATTAATTTAAGTAGGTGATGCTGCCAGTATAGTACTCTCTCTCAATAAGGGTCTTCTCAGCACCAGACATTCTCAATGATGGACGCCTTTTTGTCGGGTATAATTAGCGGATCGAGGTAGTAAAATCACTTGGTGTGGAGGGATTATCCACTATTGGCAAGCTCGAAACTCTGATTAGATTGCATCAAAAAACGTAAGAAATTGATCTGACCCATGACACTGATTTTAATGAAGTATGTCAATGCATGAAGGTGCCACATTTTATGTGCCTCGGTGTCAGTTAGCCTAGTATAAATCTGCCCGTGCGAGGAAGAGCGTCACTTTTGACGCTCCCTTATCGTATCTCAGGTATGTAACGAGTGCCTCACTCTTACCATTTTAAGTTAATTTAACTTGGTTGAATTTTGTTAAATATCTGTGTTCATGTTTTGACAGTGAAATTCTCATGTACCAGGTAAGCATTAACGTAGCTTAACCCTACGCCCTGGGCAAGGTGCCGCTGGTCGTACCCCCCACGTGGGGTAAATCGAGAAAAATCAACTTTTCCAAAAATAATGTTTAACTTTTTAAATGATGAAACAATAAAAAAGAAATAAGAAAAACTATATATTGACCCTCTAGAAACTTCCCTGTGGCAGCAGTGTTGTTTTGACGGCTGACGCTCGTGGTCACTACGCACTTAGCGGCCATTTTCTGCTTGTCTTTGTGTCCAGGATGGCCAGTAATGCATATATTTACTGATCATAATACTTTTTTCCGATAAATAATTTATTTTTAATATTTTATTTGCATTATTTTTCATAAAAAGTGCTCGTCAACACACACGCAGTCTGTCGTCTGGCTGTCTTTGTGTTTGGCAGAGCAAGTAATGCATATAAGTAATTTTTGAAATAATAATTCCACAAATAAATACATTTATAACATAATCATAGCATTATTTTCCAGTAATACAGTTGCTCCTCGACTTACGACGGGGTTAGGGACCCAAATCCAGGTCGTAAGTCGAAATGGTCATAAGTCAAAAATGCTTAAATAATACATAGAAAATCTAAAATGGAAGTCTCTTTTTCTTCTCAGCACCACAAAACTCTCACTTTTAAGCTTGCCAGCCATTTTAAAGTGAATTACAAACGAAAATTTTGTCAGTACACAGCGCAATCACTAACGTTGGGTCTCGAAAATACGTAATTTGACAAAATTTTGGTTCGACTGAGGCGGTCGTATGTCCGGGTGGTCATAGGTCAAGTATGTCGTAAGTCGAGGAGTAGCTATACTACACTACAATACAACTACACTACTTTTTGCAATATTACTTTGATAAAACATGATAAAATGGACAAACAATGAAAATGAAACAAACAAAAGTAGGTAATTACGTTCAGGAAGCTTCCCTGTGGCCGAGCATTTGGCATGACAGGCAAATAGTCATGCTGGAACGTAATAACCCACACTGGGCGTTCAAACAATGCCACGAAAAGGCGCGCCTTCCGGAAAGTCAACCGGGGCGCCCGAGATGGACGTTCCGGAACGTCAACTGGGGCATAGGGGTTAAACATTGCCTGTGTCGATGACCCTTATCTGACGTATAATCGTTTGTAATTGAGTTTAGAATTTTAGTCACACTTTTGACGCTCCCTCATTGTATCTCAGGCACGGTGTGTTCTAGCTGCCTGCCAGTGAGGTGTCCAAAGTAGGATGTTTCTAATTCAGCGAGATTAAATTCAGGGAGAGTGACGCTGTGGGAGCTACCCCCGGGAGAATGAGCCCTCTAACCCGCGCGTCAGAGTCAAACCAGCGCTAATAGTGCTCTTCATTTGTTATAGTAAACACTAGTGAATGAGCCTGGTGTACAAATCTCGATTATATGTGCAAAATCGTGTTGTCATACACGATTGTGGATAATTTGCAAAAATATAATTGTCCCAACTTGAGTATTAAAACCGTAAAATATTGATATTGTGTATGAGTTGTGAGTAAATCAGCCATGTGTACTCCCAACTGTTTCAATGTTGTTCTTTAAGAAATAACATGATGTATTTAGTAATGTGTTAACATCGCTGTGCTATTAGCAAGTGTGTATAGTGATCATCTTTATTGTAAAAAAAAAATAATATAACAGTTGTAACAAATAGTTGAAGAGCTATTTTGTTACTTATAAAGTAAGATCTATTGGTCTGAGTGTTACAGTAAAGTAATCAGGGATTTAACCAATTTTTGTTGTTGTGGATGAAGGTTCAAATTGTCATCTTATTCACATTTGAGCTAAATAAATATTGAATTTGTAAATTGTGAGCATCACCACTCCTTTGCTTCGAACAATTGCATCTCAGAAAATAAACACCGTAACACACGTGCCTAAAAGCTCGCTACCACGCTACCTAACACTTTTAATGATACCAGTTATATTCTAATAAATGTCTGGGTGGTGGCAATCTACCTTGTAAGTATAATAATTACCAATAGGTGTTGTTAAAGAATGATTTGGTTTTCCCAGGTTAATCCATTGAATAGAATATAACTAAACACTAATGAATATTGTAAGAAGTAAGAAGAAACATAAGAAACAAATAATGACATTGGAAGAAATATAAAAGATATAGAAAAGAAAGATAATGAATATTGAAATACCTAACAAAGTAAAAACATTGAAAGAAATAACAATAAGTAAGGAAAGTAAAAGATAGAAGATCTATTAATAAGCAAACTGGAATAAAGATTTAGAAAAATATAATAACTTCAAAAACATAAACAAATAAATTAAAGAAAGTATGTAAGTTACATACAAACAGAAAAGACATAAAAAACAACAAAAAATATAGAAAAGAAAATATCTCCTCTTACACAGATGTATTTATTAATATGATAAATAAGAAATACTGTACTACCTGTATTTTTATTTCCACCCCTTACAATCTAATAACACTTGAAGATACAGATGGACAAAACAAAACCTTTACCAGGTAAAAATGTTATGAAGCAACTGAAGCAAAATTTATGGCAGGCGAGACCTCATGGTTAATATTTTTTTTTTTTTTTTTTTTTTTAAACTCATTTCCCGAAAAAATAAATAAATAAAAGTTATTGGCATAAACCAAATATCTTTAGTTTCGTAACTGATTGTTCTGCAACATACAGGTAAGCCAAAAAAACACTAACATGACAGTATATGGTCATTTTTCTTCACTTCTAATAAACATGAGAGAAAAAATACATGCCAATACGTTCACAACCTCCAAGCTCAAAATTGTCGGAGCCAACTACAGTACTTAAGTGTTATACACTGCGAGAAGCAGAATTTTATGAGCTTTTCAATGCAGTACAGTAATCAGATTTCTGATATGACCAATACCCTGTAGTTGTTTTGAGAAAATAGCAAAAATTGATTCTTAAATGGTAAATTATTTTTTTTATCTTCGATTATTTTTGTGCCTCTGTTTTATACCGTTATAAACTACAGGGTATATTGAATCTTGTAGCCAACACTATAATAACAAGAATGTTACTGATAAAATTGATGTAGGTCTAAAAATCATCCTCTATTCAGAGACTTCTTTCGAGACATTGTCACTATAACGAGGTTGTATAGCATGATACTGTAATGGCTTTTGAAAACTAAACACTTTCCCTGTAAATATGAAAAAAAATATTACATTATACAACCATCACTTCACTTTATTAATACTAAAAAGAAATTATTTCAGGGAGTAGAGTAAGTACTGTGATCCAGGAGTTGAGGCAGCCCTCATGGAGTTATGGAAATTTAAGGCGTTTTTTATGCATGTATTAGCTAATGCGTTAGCTATTCTGTATGCGCAGACGCTGCTTTTGACTTGTACACAGGGAACATTCAGGAGGAAAAGGTAACACCTCAATCAGGAGTTAGCCTTAAACAGCCCACATAGCTAACAACCAATCAACGATTTCTCCCACTGAAAATACACGGATCATGGCTGCTTATGGAGAATATTTTGATTAATATTGAAGAGTTGAGGGCATATAAGGCAATAAAAAACTGTGATATAATAATAAAAATAATTCTATATACGGTAGTATATCGGATAGGACCTCAAACAAAGCGTATGGCTTGAAAAAAATTAAAAGAATTGAGCCAAGTTGAAACCTATTTTGGCTCCGCTCATTTTTAAGTGGGAGCTGTCCGATTTCATTAGCCGTTGGTGATTTTGGTGTGTCAATATTGATAATTATTCAAATATGATTAAAACTTTAATATCATTACTGTACAGTCGACACTCGTTAAAACGGACTAATAGGGGGGAAGGGTGTCCGTTTTAGCCGATTGTCCGAATTAACCGATTTAGGTTAGGTTAGGAAATACAGTACCGTATATACACTGTATGCTGAACATGATACACAGTAACAAAAATACAGGAAATACTGTAAACATCATATAACTAGCTATATAAAACATTACAATATGTAAAAATACAAAAGTTAATACCATAAATTGTTAATTTCATTTACCTTTGGTAGATGACAGATGAGCTTGATGTGGTGGAGGTGGGTGGTAGAGGTGATAACTTGTCATTTGGAGTCAGTTGAGCTATGATGCTCCACTGGGCCTTGTCCCCCACTCGTAGAAGGCTGAGGTGACTGAGGATGGCCTGTGTCAGCAGCAGGAGGGTCATCAATATTGTCAGCAGGCTCAACAACTGCAGCAGGGTTGGGACGAACTGGCTTGAAGAATGAGTAGTTTCAGTTGTTTAACTTGCTGATGCTGCCTCTGGATAATGAGTTCCCTAAAGGCTCTAAAATGTTCATAGTAATGCTGAACATCATCAGTTTCTGCTGACAATTCAATGTACGAAATGACATTATCAGTGGATTCTCGTATAACAGAGAGTTTGGGTTTCTTGGGCAATGGTTCATCGTCTTCCTCATCTTCACTATCTCTGCTGTCGCCAACGAGAACTTCAAACGCTATTTCTTTTTCTGTTAAGACTTGGTATCCAGGGTCACCCTCTGTGTCTTCTAGCCAGTTCTGATGTCGTCTTCTGTGACATCATTTTCGCCCACCCTCTGAAGGATACGATGAAAGTCCCTTGCCTCGAATCCTTCGAAATCATATTCTACCTCCACATTGTACAGAAGTATTTTCCAAGCATTGGCTAGAGTGGTAGTCTTCAGTGCCTTCCATGAAGCTGCTAAATTGAATATTGCAGACTTGAGGTTGTAGTTCTTGACGTTATTAACAGTTCTTTGGCCTCGTGTGTCTTCCGTAAGATCTTCCTCTTCTTCTATAACCGCAAGAACTTCGTCCAGATATCTTCGTTGGTATATTCTCTTGCAGGCTACAATTTTACCCTGATCTATTGGCTGGATCAGGGAGGTAACATTGGGTGGCAAGAACATACATCTTACTTTACCATCATTACTGACAAGCTTGTCAGCACCTGCGTGAGCAGGTGCAGCAGGAAGTTTGAGGACATCTTCTTGACATTTTTGCACTGCAGGAATGAAATGCAAGAAAAACCAATCATTAAAGATTTGCATGTTGAACCACGATTTCTTGGAATGGTAATAATGCACTGGTAGATGGTGCATCATGTCTTTCAAAATTCGCGGGCGTGCTGACCACCCCACCACCACTAACTTTAAACGGTGCATACCGTCTGCGTTCGCGCAACACAATGCCGAAAATCGTTCCTTACTTACTTTACGACAGGTGAGGAGGCTTCATTCTTGAATGCTTGGGTATTCCGGGGTAGGGACCGCCAGTTTCATCCCCATTATAGACTTGGGAAATCAGGAGCCCTTCACTCTTAATTAAGTCA